TCGAATGGTCAGTCGACTGGTCAGTCGACTGATGAAACTGTCTGCAATTACTAAATGTCTCTGTTTTAATTCAGGTCGACTGACCAGTCGACTGATGAGGTCATTAGTCAACTGATCGTGCTCATCAATTGACCAATGAGCTGCCAGTTACATACAATGGTCAGCTCATCAGTCAACTGACTCGAGCCGTCAGTCGACCGATAAGCCCAACGACTATATTTTTAGCCTTTTGTGGGTTTTTTCTTTTTGCTGGATTTCTTGGGTTTTGAGCTTTGGTTTTCCATCCTATATATACCTCCTATTGCTTCACTTCTGAGAGTATCTAAGAGGGTTTCTAACAAGAGTTTAAAGAGTTTTAAAGTTTGTTTAAGTTTTCTTAAGTTTGTGTTTATAAAGAGGAGACTTGCATTTTTAATTGAGGAATTCATCCTCAATCTTCTTCATCCTCTATTGTGTTTATAGAGAAGTTTTTCTAACTCTTTTCTCTAGAAATTTATTATTGATTTTTATATTTTGATTATTGCTAGTTTGCTAATTGAGTTAAGATTTTATTTGAACTCATTTTATCACACACACCCCTATTTGAACTTTTAGTTTTTCATACATCATATATTGGGTTGTGGGATAGTAATATGGTGAGAGTGAGCTTACATTGTATTCTCATCTATTGCAGAGAACAAAATCTTATAATTGAGACTTATTGTGAGTTATACTTTGTATTACACTTGTACACCGAGAGGAATGTGTGGTGAGAGACAGTGTCGTCCCAAAAGAAGTATTGTCGGTAGTAAAATCTAGGGAGAGGTTGTAAATCTGAGCACTTGAGAGAGACACGGGCTAGGCCAATACTTAGAGGGTGTAGAGTATGATTACAAGTGTGTAAGTTGTAAAGTTTTCGGTGAACTAAAAAACCGAGTTGTGTGGTGTAAACGTTATTCGGGTGAGCATAGAAAACCCAGTTATAATAGTGGAGATCTCCTCGAGGTGAAGAGCAAAGACGTAAGTCAAGTAGTTGACCGAACTCCGTGAACATATCGTGTGTTTGTAATTGTTTTTGTGCACTATCACTCTTATTTAGTTATTGTTTGTTCTTATATCCTTGCCTTAATATATTGTATATCAATATTGTTAGGATATATTTATTAGTAAGTTTTAATCGGCATTAATATCTAATAAGATTAGCATAAACCCTATTCACCCCCCTCTAGGGTGCTTTCAAATCAGTCACAATTTCCTCAGTTGAGACGGTCGGAGAGAGAACGACAACCCTCAACTAGATATCCTGCTTCAGAGTATACTAAGGTAACAGATGCAAGTGAACCAGAAAGTTTCCATGAAGCACAAGTTTATGATGATCGTGCAAAGTGGAAGAAAGCTATGCAAGAGAAAGTTTCCATGAAGCACAAGTTTATGATGATCGTGCAAAGTGGAAGAAAGCTATGCAAGAGGAGATGGATTCTTTGCATAAGAATCACACTTCAAAGTGGAAGAAAGCTATGCAAGAGGAGATGGATTCTTTGCATAAGAATCACACTTATGACTTGGTGGAACTACCTAAGAACAGAAAAGCCTTGAAGAACAAATGAGTGTTCAAAATCAAGAATGAAGGAAATTGTCAAATCAAGTACAAAGCTTGCCTCGTGGTGAAAGGTTTCAGTCAAAAACAAGGTGTTGACTATGAAGAAAATTTTTCTCCTGTTGTAAAGATGTCTTCTATTCAGGTTATTCTTGGTCTTATTGCTTCTTAGGATCTTGAAGTTGAACAGTTAGATGTGAAGACAGCATTCCTCCATGGTGATTTGGCAGAAAAAATCTATATGAAGCAGCTAGTGGGTTTCAAGGTAAAGGGCAAAGAACACTTGGTTTGCAAATTGAAGAAAAGCTTGTACGCACTCAAGCAGGCACTGCGACAATGGTATAAAAGGTTTGATTGTTGTATTCTTGACTATGGGTACAAAAGAACATCTGCAGATCATTGTGTTTATGTTCAAAAGTTCTCGGCTGATGATTTCATTATTCTCTCCCTATATGTTGATGATACGCTTGTTGTTGGAAAAGATAGGTCTAAAATTGATAGGTTGAAGAAAGAGCTGAGCAAGTCCTTTAACATGAAGGGCTTAGGAGCAGCACAACATATATTGGGAATAAAGATTTTTCGAGACAGAAGTGCGAGAAAGTTGTGGCTATCACAAAAAAGATACATTGAATGTGTTCTAGAGAGGTTCATTATGTTGAACTCTAAGCCAGTCAGCACACCGCTAGCAGCTCATTTTAAGCTAAGTACACAACAAAGCCCTTCAAGTGAGAAGGAGAATGAGGAGATGAAGAGCATTTCATTTGCCTCGGTCGTCAGAAGTTTGATGTACTCCATGGTTTGTACAAAGACCCGACATAGCACATGCAATTGGAGTGGTAAGTCGTTATCTTGCCAATCCTGGTAAAAAACATTGGAAAGCAGTAAAGTAGATCCTAAGATATCTTAGAGGAACCTCTAAATATTCTTTATGTTTTGGAGATGGAAAATATCTTGGAAGGCTACACTGATTCTGATATTACAGGTGACTTGGACAAAAGAAAGTCCACATCAGGATACTTATTTACCTTTGCAGGGGGAGCCGTATCATGGCAATCAAAGCTGCAAAAGTGTATCACTCTATCCACCATAAAAGCTGAGTATATTGCTGCTACAAAAGCCAGCAAGAAGCTCTTATGGATGAAGAATTTTCTAAAGGAGCTATCTCTCAAGCAAGAGAAGTACACTCTATATTGTGACAGTCAGGGCACCATCGACTTGAGTAAAAATGCTACCTATCACTCAAGGACAAAACATATCGACGTACGCTTTCATTGGATCTGTGATGCTTTGGAGAATTGTCTTATGCATATTAAGAAGATTGATACAAACCATAATCCGTCTGACATGATGACGAAGCCTCTACCAAAAGAGAAGCATGACTACTGTCGAAGAAAGGCAGGTATGACTACTGTTTGAAAACTTTCTCCTCATGAGGATGGAGGGGGAGATTGATGGGAACGGGGGTCCATCCCCATGATGAATTAATATGGATTTAATCCATGGAAATTTTATGGTTGACTACATGTATTCATTGATAGATTATCTTTCCACATACATTAGGAAAAGGAAGGGCTAGTCTTTGAAATTCTCCATGCAATGAATGTGGTGTACCCAAGAGGCATATCCTCCCTATAAATAGAGGGGGGGATTGTGAAGGTTAAAAACAAGAAGCAAGAAGAAGAACCACATACAATCTGTAATCCTCAAGTGAGTTTGAGAGAAAGTGATCCTCAAGTTAAGTTATACCAACTTGAGAGAAGACCATTTACAAGCTTTCATTTGATTATAGTAAAAACGATGAAGAATGGGTGGATGAGGACGTATGCTCAATTTGAGCTGAACCTCGGTAAATCTTGTGTGTGCAATTTCTCTATTTCTCTGTTTTTTTCTCTTCTATTTTTTGTTCTCATCTCATCACAAAAACGGGAAAGGTTTTGTTATATTGTTAATTTCCCAACAGAAAACAGCTGTCATCTTAACATATTGATTATATGCAAATAAGAAGAAAGGTCAAGGTCATAATATTACATGGATGTATGTTTCAACTATGCTTTATTGACAATGAATCTGTTTTAACTGTTGTCTATGCAGATAAACAACATGATTTACTTACCAAAGCTAGAGGCAAACAAAAAAAAAATTCTATTTTTTGGCAAAATGGTTGGTGATTCTATTGATAAAAATAATCCAATGCTAGAAATACTCTGCCATCTAATATATACAGAGATCACTTCGCAATACTCAGCCTTCAATTAATAAGAAGTGAAGTTAACGTCTCGGTATCTTGATGCATAAATAACACGAATTGTGCATAATCTGTTAAGAATAGAGCTTCTGGAAGAAAAAGAATATATTAGTAGAAATAGACTTATTTTATTCATTGTATTAAAAGGTTTTAATACAAGAGCAAGAGAAGAAGTTTTAGTATCCTAGACGATGTGGGACTAAAGAAAGGGATACAATATGCCCAATAACTATATTTAATACCTCTAGTCAAACTCACAGTCGGTAGAGAACCAAGAGTTTGGATCAGACGACCCAAATTTACATAAATGGTTATTGGTGTGGCTTGGCAAGAGGTGGTTAAATTGGAACACATCGGTGGTTAGAATTGCAAGATGTGAGATCATGTCATTGCAATGGCGATCGACAGTCATGCACTGTGGTCGCGAGAGGGCGAACCTGTAGTCGCGAGAGAAGACATGGTGACTGGATCTTGCAAGTATCAGTGATCGAAAAACACTTGGCTAGAAAGAGCTTTGGCCAAGGAGGGAGAAATCTCGCTAAGGCAATTCGTCGAACACTTTTTGTGCATGCAATGAAACGGATGAACAGTATAATTATGCCACATGGGTGTAGGGAGATCTAACTGATTAGGCTAAATGATTAGCTGAAGATCTATGAAGATCTAGTTTGTATGCCGAATGATTGGTACAATATCTATGAAGATCTAATTAGTAAGCCAAATGATTGGTGCAAGATCTATGAAGATCTAGCTGGTAAGCCAAATGATTGGCATGAGATCTATGAAGATCTAGTTGGTAAGCCAAGTAATTTGTGCAAGATCTATAAAGATCTAATTGGTAATCCAAATGATTGGCGTAAGATCTATGAAAATATGGGTTGAATCTAGTATCGAGGCCGTTGAGGGGAAGCGTGGAGTTTTCAGCAAAACCCCATCGGCGGCTCAATATAGAGGAAAAAGGAGCTCTCTTTGGGATCAAGAGAATGGCTCCGATACCAAGTTAAGAATAGAGCTTTTGGGAGAAAAAAATATATTTGTAGGAATAGACTTATTTTATTCATTATATTAAAATGTTTAAATATAAGCGCAAGAGAGGAGGTTTTAGTATCCTAGGTGATGTGGGGCTAAACAAAGGGATACAGTATGCTCAATAACTACATTCAACATAATCATATAATATTTCATTTGAGTCCAAAATATGAATTACGGTTTCCATCAGAAAGCTCTGAGGTGATTTATAGAAGTAAATACAAATATACAGAACATGTTAAAAACAAATACCAGTTTGCTTACCTTTAAGAAAACACATCAACTGGCATAAATTTTGTTGCCTGCACATTTTTGGTACAAGATAGTGCACAAGCAAGGCAGAAAGGGCTTCGGTCTTGAAATTCCAATAGAAACTTAAACTTCATATCCTATGCAATTTACATGAAGATTTACGCAACATCCGAGCTCATACTTTATTAGTGGACTGATATCAAACCCCTTTTGCCATTTTTGATGGTTTCTGCATTTTCAGTCCGTTCTTTTTTCGATAATTTCTTGGAGCCACCATCCTCGATGGTTGCTGCATAATTGCCAAATTGGAAATATCAGATAAAAGCATCCGAAATGTGCATGTATTATAAGGGCTTTAGACACTTACTACACAAACGTTTTATTACCATTAAGACCCTTTAATGTGGAGTTATCTTTCTGTTAGTTGTATGTGTACTATAAGAATTGTATCTTCAACACCTATAAAAGAATAGGGGTCTTTCTCTGCAGCATAGTGAAATATCAGAGGCTCTCCCTACAATACATTGATATCATCTAACGCTCATTTGATGGGTACAGATAATGGGGAGAATTTTCTATTAGGACAATAGGGTGCTGTTTGGTAAGGGTTTTAAGCAGGTAAGAGGAAGGACTAACTTTTGGTAACCTAGGCGTTTTTTTCGTTTCTGTTTTTTTTTTTTTTAAACAATGAAACGCGTTTGGTAAACGTGGTGTTTTTTTACCTGATTCTTTATAAAACCCAAAAAATAAATGTTTTTCTTAAAACACCAAAAAGATATTTTGAGATCCATTTTTACAAATGCCGCCGCCGCTCGCCCGCCGCCCGCCTGCTGCTGCCGCTATATAAATGGTCAAACTAGTTTGACCAATAACTTTCAAAATGTTGTTTTCAAAACATTTATGGAAAAAAACCATGGCATGATGTTTTTCTTAAAAAACACAACAAGAAATCACCTTGATTACCAAACAAATTAATCCTTCACGAGAAGTTAAAAATAATTTAATTTTGTTTGTACTTGATAGTCAATATGAAGGGTTAAGTGTTTTGTGTTTAGCAAATAAAGAAGAGTAAGGAACGTTAACTGCGATAAATATATATCATAAGGTATATTTTTTTTCAAGTTTTCATTTTTTATTTCCAGAGAGAGTAACTATTAACCCTCCTCTTTAGGCTGATTTGTTAACCCTTCTAAATGAGGAGATAGCTAACTTTAATCCTAGTAAGGGGTTTGTTATCCCTTTGACCAAATTAACCCATTTGGATGGGTAAGGAGGGTTAAACCTTATTAACCCTACTCTTAACCCCATGTTAAATAGGGCCTAGGGCCCGGTTTGGCAAAGGGCTAATGAAGATGGATTAAGATGAAGTATTAACGTAGTTAGCCTATTCGATAACACGAAAGACTAAATTATTAACCTGTTAAATAAGTTTTATTTTAGCTCTTGTGATCAATTTCAGTGTTTGAGAATAACAATGATTTTGACTATTTTCTTTATAAATAGAGGGGTTAACTCACAATCCTTCTAAATATGAGTATTAGTAAACCCCTTATCTTGAGGGGTTAACTCATTTTAATCCGTCTAGAGGTGTTAGCTTAAACTTTCTGCAATTTTTTACGTTTAGCGAATTATAGAGGGTTAACTTACTTTAATCCTTGTATAGATTTTTTGCATTTGGTGAATTAAGAAGGGGTTAAGTTCCTTAACCCCTCACTTAACTCATTGCCAAATGACACCTACGTGTTTAAATGCTAAGAAAAGTTTATTGATAATAGGTAGCTCAACCCATGGCCTCGTTTGGCAACAAGTTAGTAGAGGGATTAATGAGACTTAACCTCTGCTTAACCCTCCAAACAACTCTGAAGCACGGATTCGCCCCTGGAGGCCACGAATCCGTGTCTGACTCGAATCGGACACAAATTCGTCACGACACGTGTCGGACACGATCAATCTGTGTCTGACACGGGTCAACGATCAAATTAGGCTCGGACACGGCTTGGATTTGCCAAAAGCCGATTCATTCGGGTTGCGGGTTTGGTTGTTAAAATCCAACCCGAACCGTTCGATTAAAAAACCTATCCCTATTTCTCAAATCTCCCGTTCGATTCGATCCTCAGCTGACTCAAACGAAAAAAAAAAGAAAAAACCCTAACCCTAACCCTAACCCTAATCCTCTCTCTCAATCTCTCAGCTCACTCCCGTTCGATTCGATCACCTCCGCTGTTCCGACCCGATCCCACCGACCGTTACGTTGTTCCGACCCAATCCCGCTTCCACTTCATCTTGAGGTACTTTTTGTTTACAAACTTGTTATTTTGTGATAGATTCATATTTTAGATTGTTAATTGAATTTTATAAATTTTTCTATATATAATAATAATTTTTTTAAAAAATCCTTGTCGTATCCCCGTATCTTATTTTTTTAGATTTTGTCGTATCCCGTATCCGTGTCGTATCCGTGCATGCCAAACAACAAAAGTTCCCAAAGATTAACAAACCCCTCACGTGAGGTTTTATCTCTAGTTAACCCGTCTGTAGACGGGTTAACAAGGCCACGTGAGGAGGCGGAGTAAAGTTACTCCTACTCCGCCTCCTCACTAGGTGTAGACAACGGAATTTCATAGAAATATGAAAGTCCGTTTTCATTGTTGTGATTATATTATGAAAAGTATTCTGCCAGCATTTTGGCATTGAAACCAAGTGGGACCCATACCTATTTGGTGGTTGGTTTGTGCTACAGCCAATGCAGAGCTAGTGAAATTTGACATCCTCACCTCTTTCAAAAGGATTCCGTAGTTATAAATATAAATTTATTATGCTATAAGGTATCAAATGCAGTTTGTTGTCGTTAAATAATTAAATAAATTCTAATGTGATATGTGTCATATTAATATGTAATGAGGCTGAATGTTGAATGTGATATTAAATTTATGTTGTAACTTTTACGATTATCAATATTTTAACGTTATTTAAAGTTTTATATAGTACTATTGAGAAAATTTTCAATTTTGTTCTTGAAAAACCAATTTTCTATTAAGATTTATGATTAATCAAAAGCCTTTTAAATAAATTTTATATTTTTATCCCACTTTAACATTTAACTTCATGCTATAATGATAATTTATATATTTTTAATTTAAATTGATTTTTGTTAGCCTCTCACATCATTATTTAATAATATAGAATATTTTAAATTTCAAATGAATGCAAACTCTTGTTGAATTAATTTTAACAGAATAATTGTTAGTAAATTTCAATAGAGCTAAAGTTTGTATTTTAGGGGTAGGAGGGGGGGTTCTTTTTAACCTTCCTCTCTTAACCCCTTGCCAAACGGCACCGTATAAACTATAGTACATTGCTATTGTCTGCAATGAACACCAAAATAAAGTAACCGGTGAGGAAAACAAACTCAAGAATTCAATCTGTTTCTTTGAAACCCAACAGTACCTCCTATTGCATCTATCCTGCTAAATTAGAACATCGAAATTTAAAAAATAGACTGACTTATCTCTCCACGATTTTGTTGAACTCAAAAGTTAATAAAAACAACAGAAAACTTAAACACACATATTTTTCTGAAATCCAATGAGGAGCATTATCCAATGATGTAAAGATTTGTCGCTTACCTACTAAAATGGTCTGGCAGCTTCTTCCATCATCTTCTTCACTCTTGTCAATCTCTCAATCTCTTTTAGCACCTGAAAAAAATGTTTATTTACTTGTTAAAAAAATAGTTTTCAGGGATAAAACTTACGCTCTCAGTAACTATTACCCCTTACCTCGATTGCCATATCTTGTGCAGTGACCGTGCTGAGATCTTCACAACCCAGCTCAGCAGCCACTTCTGCATGCATTTTCAAGGATTTCTTTGATTAATATAATTTCCTGAAACAGTAGAAATGGCAAATAGTAAGAAAGGATATCATTTTTCATAATAGTCTTTTACTTTCTAGTGAGACAGTTGCATCTGCAGTTCCATATCCTTTTCTCATTTCATAGTACACCTTTGAGAGCTCCTCCATAACCTGTATGATGAACATGAACCACGGTCATAATATTCACTAAGAGCGAGCAGGGATATGTTTATTACGATTAGGACTCCAAATAGCATTTGATTGTGGAAGTCAAAACATAAAGACGAATTCCCATGTATAACATACATTATGGAATACCTTGTAGGACTTTAGGACAATTACCCATCCTTAAATAAATCTAAAAGCCTTTTGGTGGTAAGTAAATGATTCTTCAGTGGGAAGACAATATCTGTTACACTCGATTGTACATAATATATGTACCCCAACATGCACCAAGTTTTACAAAACAACATTCCTCTTTTAATGGATATTCATATTTATTCCTCCTAAGAATCAAGATGTTAGCAAAAAGACAAAAAGAAAGTTCTGCAAATAAAGCAATTCAAAAGGATGAATCAGAGTCTTTTCCACTGATTGGAACATCCCGTTTCGAACATCATGCAGCTTCTAATGAGATAAATTATCAACAAACATCACAGGGTTGATACTTAGTTACCTCTAGTTATTTCTATCAGATGCCCACCTCTGTTGTATCAAGTATCAACTCCGAGGACACCAATCATATCATGGTACTACAGACGTATTGGAATGTCATCCAAATGAAGTACCAAATGTCACTCCATTTGATTAAACCTAACCAAAAGTCTTTCTGTTTGAAGGCAATGCTCAAAAGATACAATTCAAAATGTGCATGTCGATTACAAGTTAACCGACTAAAAACAACAACAACAACAATCCCTTTATCCCAAAATTTTGGGGAGGTTACATGAACCCTACTCCACTCAATTCTTTTGAGGGCATAAGTTTCTAACCAAGTTCTCTTAGACCTACCTCTAGTCCTCCTTTCTATATTACTAATAATCTTATCATCTTCCCTAACTGATGCATTTAATGGCCTCTGTTGCACATGACCAAACCATCTCAAATGATTCTCTCATTTTATCCTCAATAGATGCAACAAGTTAACCAACTCACTCCAAGATAGGATGATCAATAATGATAATAAACCCCCTAATCAAAATTCTTTATGTTAGCTGCTCTGTTACATGGCTGTTTTGCCTCACTCAACTGCTTCAAGTCCCCAACAGATCCAACTCCCTGCTTCCTCCTCTAACAAGTGCGGACGCCCGACTTTTATGCTTTAGGGTTCAAAGATTCATTTCATAGAGATCCAACCAGGTTTTTTTACCTACAAGTAGCTAACCCAAAGCAACAATCTTCTATTATATAATGGTAGAGGTAGTGAAATAATTAATGTATATCACAACTTAAAAGTTTAGTAGGCTGACATTATTGATTGAGCAGTTTATGTGTGCTACTGCTGGGTTTCCCCTCTTCTTTTGGATATTGGTCGAGAACCCCAGGGATCAGGGGTAGTGACCAATTAAGAGTGAAAGCTTCACATAGAAAATTGCATTTTCCATTACCATGAATCAAAGGTACTTGAGGCACACACCCATGATATAAAAAAGTGTCAAGGTTTTCTAAGATTATTGCCTTAATCAAGAAAAACAAAGATCCTATTATAAGCCACGATATAAGGAGAAGAGCAAGTTGATAACCTCTATAAAAGTATCAGAATTGGATGTAGCTTGAGAGATAGTGGACGAGGCCTCGGTCTTTAGAATCTCATTTGCTAACATATCCAAAGGAACATCTATCCAAATTGATATGCCATGTCTCATTAAAGCCCTAGAGGGTCAAAAAGTTTGTAAATAGTTAATTGCTGAGGAACTTAGAGGTGGCTCACTGAGAAAGGTCACATTACAAGGGGAAAAAATCCGATAGAAGGCCCTCTATAGAAAATCATATAGGAAGGATGGAGAGCACAAAAAGGTGTCTCGGCATAAATTTTAGAGTTGGTGACTACACCAATATTGATTCATCAATATTGCATACTGATTGCACTAATCTAGCGCTGGTAGTGACACACATGTCGCAATCTCCTTGCTCCATATATCATTTTCTATAGAGGTCTTTCTGCAGGATTTTCTTTCCATTAAGAGTTGTTCTTACAGATTGGTGGAGCTCTGGACAGCACCATCTCCAGCACAAACTACCAGACGGCCCATAGATGATAACTGCTTTAGAACTTCTGTCTGCAAAAGAAAATATTTAGGTTTAAGTTATTCAAACATTATAGATGTAACATTATTTCATGATCATGGTCATGATTATGAATTCTTCCATACACCTCAGAATCACGAAAACCCTTTTCATCTGTATCCCTAAAGGATTTAGCCGCAGCCTCACCACCAGCAGCTTGCTCAACCAAACCATCACTGCTTAGAAAAGAAAACAGAGAACAAAATAAATAATCAAGTACATTGCTTGTGGGCACAGAACGATTTAATATGGAAGAGGACATACACCTGTCAAAGTAGTAGTATCTTAATGCATCAGCTAAAAGCTCCCCCAATGTTGTTTTCATGGAGCAACTCATCCCTAGGCACCATGAATCAGATGCAATCAATTTATGAATTTCTTCACTTGAATAATACACATATATTACATTTTTAACTTACCAACAAGAAAAATGGATGTTCCTTTCAATTCATTGGAAATCTCAGATGCCTTTTTCTGTGTTATAATGTGAAGACAATGTTTATTCAATTGATTGTCTGAAAGTTTGTGTTCATGTGAAGATTCACCAGAGTAGGCAGTAAAAAATGACTAACCTTTACAATAAGTGATGGCTCAAGCTCCACTGCTGACATTCTAGCACCTAAAAGATAAAATAAACATAGAATAATTTATATGCACAGGGTCAAGTATACATCAAATTCTACTCCAGCCAGTGTATCCTTTGTTAAAGTCCACAATCATTACACCAAAACTACGAAGTTGTGGTGAGGGTAGAGGGTTATATTTTTGTATTCTAACATATGCCCCGCAGTTTAAGCGCTCTTTCTATGGGCTAAAACCTAGACGCACACACCAGAGTTAATTTTTAGAAAATATGCTTTAAATTCGTAGCTCATGGGATTTGAACCTGAGTTGCTTTAATATCATGTTAAAGTCTCTAACCCTTGCACCAAAACTTTGAAGTTGTGGTAAGGGTTGAGGGTTATATATTTATATTCCAACATCCTTCAACTGCACATGTAAAGGAAATAAGAAAAGAACATCTTAGACTTAAATTTCTGTGTAATTTCAGAGCATAACATCTTGTAACAAAAAAATGGTATGCATCAAAATTGTGATGAAAACAGGAACGTAATGGGGTCTCCATAAATATTTTATGCATGATAATAATAGTGCAGTACCCAATATGACACACATG